AGTCCTTCACGGGATGCTGGTCTGGAGCCATCCTCACTTCCTTACCATGCAGGCCACTCCGACGCAGCAGCTGGCTTCATCAAAGCCCACAAGCCAAAGAGGCAGCAGAGAGAGTGTGACGGCAAGACAGAAGTCACCGTCTCTTGTAACCTAATCTTAAAAACAGCATCTATCAACTTGGCCATATTCTGTTCATTAGAAGTAAGTCATGGGCCTCGCTCCCAGTCAAAGAAGATCAGCAGGGAGCATTACGGGGGGAGGTCATGTTAGAAGTCTGCCACACACAGAAGGTCACTGGTGGTGTCTAAGCAGGGAAGTGACGTGATCTGATGTATATTTTCAAAGGATCACTTTGACTTTCTTGAGTATAGGCAGTGTGGGCAGGGATTGGGCAAGAGTGGAAGCAGGGAGACCAGTCGGGGCTTCTGGGCAAGATGATGCTGGTTTGGATGAGGGAGGTAACAGTGGAGAGGTAGGGAAGGGCAGCCAAGGTTGCCTCGCCAATGGATAGGAGTGGGTGGGGACAAGCAAAGAGGAACTGGGGATGCCTCCTGAGCCTGCAGTCACAATCCAGGATGAGGGTGCCTTTGACTTGGGATGTGTGCTCTGCATTTCTCCCCCCACCCCGGGAAAGACACTCCCCATCCTCCTCCGGCCCTCCCCAAGGTCATGCAGTTGCTGGATGGCTAGCCAGCATTAGGAACACCAGTCGGGAGCAGAGCACAGACATCTCCTTGTGCTGTGCTGAGGGACTGACCCCACGTCCTCGGTCTGATTAGTCTGCCCACGCTCAGACCAACCAAGCCAGTGGACCGGGGGTGTGGTTGGGGAATCGCTCACCTGTAACTACGCTGGCAAATTCAGCCAGCGCCGGAGACGGCTAAGGTGCGCTTGCACGTGCATGTGTGTGCGTGTGGGTGCGCGTGTATCTCTCAGATGGTCTACAGTTGGTGTGGGAAATATGGTACAGGGAAGGGAGAGGTCTGGAAACCAACTATGTTAGGGCATTCCAAACAAATAAATTCCAGAGAGACAAACACATTCTTTACCTGAAGAACACCATCTCTATGGGTGAAATGATAGATAATTACGTGGCTGCCATTTGTTGTGACAGTCTCACTACTAAGCACTTGACAGATACCTCATTTAATCCTCATCACAACCCAGTGAAATGGGAACCAGGATTACCCCATTTCACAGATGGGAAGCCCGAGGCTTAGGAAGTTAAGCAACTTGCCCAAGGTGACAGAGCCAATGCGTGGGAGAGCCAGGATCTGATCCAGGTCTGACTCCAAACCACTACCACCTCACTGCCTCTCATGTAGGCTGGTTGAAGATTCATGTCCTGGTTCAAGGGATGAAACCAGGGGCAGGAGATTTTCTTCTAAGTGGGTCCAGGCTTATCAGAGCTCTCATGTCCCCTAACCTAAGTGGTTAGGAGACGCACAGCTATCCCAAGAAAGGGTCCGGCTCTTACCAGCGCAGGCAGTGGATAGTGTGCCCTGGTGGTGGTTGTGAGAAAGGGCAGCAGGTGGCAATATGGAGGCGCCTGGGCTTGGCCAGCTATTGGGGGGACAGAGTCACAGCCATGTGCATGGAGCCGAGAGCCAGTTCCATGGAATCAGGCTGTCCCAGGCAAAGGGCCAGAGTGTGTCTTCTTCCTGGGGCCCTTGGGGTGTCCTCACGCGTCCTGCCCGGGTCAGCCAGGCACTCAGCAGAGATGATACACACCAGTAACCCAAATGACATCACCAAGCACCAGCCATCATTCAAACCTAGCATCAGACTCCTGTGCATACCATACTGGCATTATCTTGTTCACAATTTAGGGCCTAGGATTTTGGCTAATTTAGAGGTCAGTCTGCCCGGGTGGGGGGGGCATTGTCCACATAACCTCCCAAGGCCCAACTTCATGGAGAGACAGATATGGGCCACTTATAAAGTAAGACAGGAAGTGCTCGGGGAGCACAGGAGTGGGGAGCACTGCTTGGCTAGTTGGGGAAGGCATGACATCAGGTTTTGAAAACATCAGAATACCTTGGGTATTTGCCACCTCTTGAATAGGAATCACAAAGAAGGAGCTGGCTGACAGTCTCTGAAGGTCTGTCCCTGTCACCTGCAACATTCTCCCTGGGGCTGCAAAGGCCCCCTTCTCCTGGGGCAGGAGTGGGGTGAGCAGAGCAGCTGGGGAGTCAGGATGCCTGTGTTCTATTTCCAGCAGCTATCACTGACTCACGGCGCGACCTTGCCGAGGTCACAGCTATGTTTTCTTTGCCTGGGGAAAATCAGAGGTGACAAAGTTTGCATTTCCCCCAAGGGATAGGAGTCCTGGAACATTAGGGGTCCGTCTCTGTCCCCCACAAACCTCAACCCCGTCTTCTCCCACTGACATTAATGAAAAAATGCTTAGATTTAGATTCAAGGGATTTGGGGGGAACACTCAAGGCAAGAAGCAAGGAGTTCCTGCCAGAGCGAGACTTATGGCTACTTCTTAATGTAGCATTTCTCTAAAACAGCTTCAGATCACATCCCCTCCCAGTATTTCCCCAAGTGGGCCTTACATAGTCTGTGGAAGAGGAGACGAAATTATTTTCTCCCTCCTTTCACGATGAGGAAATCCAGGCCGGGAGGGGAGTATTTCTTAACATTTTCATTACCAGGAGCCCCTTTTGTTATTTTATCACCCTGCATCTCTGTTTTGCAAGCCCTTGCTAAATAAATACTCTGCATTTATTAAGGAGAAATGCCTTCGTGTTTTCATTCATCAAAGTCATCCAGGAGTGCCAGTTTCTGCTCAGCACAGAAGAACTAGGGCTACGGTTAAGTTCATCACCAAGAATTGCAGCATTTGCTCCGGGTGACCTCCTCACAGGTAAAGGTCCAGTTTTCACCAGATTTTTATAAAACTCTGAAAGAATTCATCATCAAGGGGCCCGAGGACCCCCAGAGACATCAAAGGTGGCTCGTGGTGGGGCCAGGACCAGGTTCCAGGAGCCTGACTCCCAGGCCAGGGCTCCAACAACCAGACAAACTGTGGTAGGAATGGCTGGTGCACGCAGAGACACACTTGCAAAGTGGCAGCCAGCCCAATGCAGGTGTCCCGAAGCAATGATGCTGAGGGCTCAAACCAGTGATAAACAGGCTCTCAGGATTACAGCGAGCCGCCGGAACCTGAGCCTGAGACTGGAAAGGTGGAGGATGTAACAGATCGGTGCAGGGTGTTCCTGGAGAATTGCACTAGGAGGACCTGTTTACTCTACCACCTGCCTGTGCTTTGTCTGCCATTATAATAACACAGCGTTTACGCGGCCTGGGGTACTCTCGCCTGCTCTAGGAGGATTCGGATTATTTCTCCCTGCACCTGCCTCTTCAAGGGGGATGATGCCAGAGCGGGGGCTGAAACCCTGTATCTGGGGATGATAAAGGCAAGCAAGGGACCCTAGGAAAGTAGGACACAGAGGATTCAGGAGGCCTGGAGTCCCAGCAGGGAAAAGAGCCGCAAGACCCCAAGGGCTGTTCCCTGGAACGCTATCCATTACCACCCCCCCCACCCCCGCCACCGCTCCCTGGTCTTCTGCAAACACTTGTCGTCTGTTGAGCTGTTGGCTCAGCCCCAGAGGCTTGGGTTTTTGATCCATCGGAAGGCATCAAGACTGCATGTACCTTTGGAAAAAGGCTGAGGCTTAGCTCTTGGGATTTTAGAATCCGAGCCGCCACCAGTCTGTGTAGGGACCAGGGACCAGGGCAGGGTCTCCCGGGGCCTGTTGTCCAACAACAGCTGTTCCCTGGGTTATTTTGGTTCCGTGGGAGCTTATCAATTCCAGGGTATTTGGACCAAAATAGCCAGCAGCAAGACAAGCTCTCCGGGGTTCTGTGGGGACCTCTCCAACATTTCTGAAATGAGCTGGGGGTGGGGGGAGGAGTTTGGCTTGGGAGGCGGTAGTTTCCCCCAGGGAGGGAAATCTCCTGCCAGTATCATACATACTACCTTTTCCCATTTTTTTTCCTTTTTTAATAGTTTACTGTCAAGTTGGTTTCCATATAACACCCAGTGCTCATCCCCACAAGTACCTTTTCCCATTCTACAAGGGGTTCAGAGAGGCGGAGGCACTGGAGCTGAGGCCACACCCCTGGGGAGCCGGGTCTCTGACTCCGGGCCACAGTGCCTCTCCGTCGGGCCTCTGTTAGACCAGCAGCCAGGTCTGATCCTGCCAAGGGGGATTCCGGTTCCTGACCGGCTCCGGCCAGCATGGAAAATGCTGACTGGCCTTGGCTTCCTTTTGGGCCACAGCGGGGGGCCCAGGCAGCTGCCAGCCTCACCGACCCTTCGTGCCTCCCTGAGATGGGTCAAGTGCGGTGGGCCGAGTGAGGCAGGAAAAGGAGGCACTCTGGAGCCCCGCCCAACCCTAGGTCAGCAGCTTTTGGCTTGGCCCCTAGAGCGCACCGGGACTGCCCCAGGGCGCAGAGCCAGAGGGACCCAGGTCGCGTTACCTTTGGCAGCCGGGCTGGGGCACGGGGAGGGCGCTTTGGCACCCGGCGAGCGCCGGGGTGCGGGACGCACGCCCCCGACACGCCCTTCTGGAAATCGCTGGGGTGGGGGGCGCTCGGTAACAGCTTAGTCGTCGTGCGCTCCTGGCAAGTCCGAGCGAGAGGGCTCATTGCCGGGTCTCAGAAAAAACCTGCCCCGGGTGAGGCCGCTTTGGCGACAGCCACTCGGCAACCTCTATCGCTCCCGCCTCTCCCTGGGATTTTCCAGCGGGTTAATCTCCTGTCCGGGTAAGTCCTTCGCGAGTCCTCGCCCCTCCCTCCCCGACTCTCCCCTCTCCGTCCCTGCCGCCGCGTACTCCCCTAGTGCATCCGCGTCGCGCTCGGTCGCCCCCGCGCGCCCGGGCGCACGCCCTCCCCGCCCCGGCCGCCCGGGGCCCAGCGCGCCGCCCCGCGCCAGGGCTCGCCCCGAGAGCCACGTCCGCGTAGCCGCGGCTCGCGCTGGTCCCCCGACCATGCGCCCCCGCCCGGTCCCCCGCGCCCCCGCCGGCGCCTCCGCCACCGCGCTCGGGCTCCGCAGCCTCCTCCTCCTGCTACTGCTTCGGCCCGGGCACGCGTGCCCCGCGGGCTGCGCCTGCACCGACCCGCACACCGTGGACTGCCGCGACCGCGGGCTGCCCAGCGTTCCCGACCCTTTCCCCCTGGACGTGCGCAAGCTGCTGGTGGCCGGCAATCGCATCCAGCACATCCCCGAGGACTTCTTCATTTTCTATGGCGACCTGGTCTACCTGGACTTCAGGAACAACTCGCTGCGCTCCCTGGAGGAGGGCACGTTCAGCGGCTCGGCCAAGCTGGCCTTCCTCGACCTCAGCTACAACAACCTGACCCAGCTGGGCGCCGGCGCCTTCCGCTCGGCCGGGAGGCTGGTCAAGCTGAGCCTGGCCAACAACAACCTGGCGGGCGTGCACGAGGCCGCCTTCGAGACCCTGGAGTCGCTGCAGGTGCTGGAGCTCAATGACAACAATCTGCGCAGCCTCAACGTGGCCACCCTGGCGGCGCTCCCCGCGCTGCGCACCCTGCGCCTGGACGGCAACCCCTGGCTCTGCGACTGTGATTTCGCCCATCTCTTCTCCTGGATCCAGGAGAACGCGTCCAAGCTGCCCAAAGGTGAGCCTGCGGGCTGGACCGTACCCGGGGCTAGGGACAGGGTCGGGGGGGGGGTGGTGGTGACAGGGAGAGGGCAGGCGGCCTTGGGTCCAGCCTGGACCCCGGGGGAACTGGGTGCATCAGACCAACTGCCCCAGGAGAGTCGCTCAGGCATAACCCTGGCAGGTTCCCAGCCTGAACTTTGCCCCGGGGTCTGCTGGGGGAGGTGGGTGGGCAGGCTCATATCTGGACTCTCTGGAGTTTCTGAGCCCTGATGCCATGCTTCTCCACCTGTTTCTCCAACAACTCACTTTCCAGAGTTAGGGACCTACCATTTCTCTGTTACCCGAGTCCGAGATCAACTCACCCTTGATCACTAAGAGCCTTGGGTCCTTAGTACTGGTGAGTGTAGATTATTTATGGGCCCCTCCTAAGGGGGAGGCACCCTCCTGTGTGGGAAGGAGCTGAAGGCCATTCTTGCTACACGGAGCATGGAAAGATCCAGCCAATTCTAAGGGCTCTCCTGCAGCCTCCAGAGCCCGAGCAGGTCCGTTTCTCAGCTCTTGTGTCTGAAAGGGATGAGAGATATTTCTGGTGAGGAATAATGGCAGCCCGCTAAAAGCCACTGATGCAGGAAGGATGTGCAGTTCTGTGGCTTTGCAGCCCAGATGTGAAGTAGCTGAACAAAAACCTTAGCAGGCGGTGCACCCCTTCCTTTCCTGGTGTGCTTTTCCAGTGGCGACATGGACATACGGATCCCTTTGGCAGATGGGGACACAGAGGGCACGGAAGTTAAGGGGCCTGCTAAGGCCAGCGGAAGGAAGCAAGGCAGAGCTGAGAAGAGGGGACCCCAGCATCCACAGAAATGAACCCCAGGATGGGGAGTAGGCAGAATGTCCCCACCCTCAGAGGATTCCAGATTTCCACTGGTGACATGTGAGCATCAGTCCTAACAGTGACCTTGCAGAGCCAGACTCTGCCTCCCACCTTGCCGCCAAGGCTTTGGCACAATAGGACCCAGAGCTGTAAGTCACACGTTATGAAAGGTGACATAGATGTGGATTTCACTTTGGTATATCTTTTTTCCATTTCTTGTGATTTCAAGGGTGTTGCTCATCTAAGCCCTGAATTCCCTGTGATCCCTTATTCACTCCATATTTTACTAAGCACAGCCGCCAGGCATTGGGATGATCCCTCCCCAGCAGATGCAGGCCCCTGAGCTGGCAATTTCGGCCAGGTCGGCTCTACCACGTGAGCAAGTCCTAAACAGATCTGACCTGCCTCCACTGGACAGCCTGGTTCTCCTGACCCCTCCCCACCTCTGGGAGACAGGAATGTCCAGCTAAAAACATCACCGTGGGCTGGCGGTATGCCCTTGTTCTGATGGCTCCTGCCTTTGCCTCAACTAATGACTAAGCCCTGTCATTAGTTGAGTGAGTATAATTGGTGCCATTCACATGAGGACCAGGTGTTAGAGGGTTGGAAGCTGTAAATTTCAATCTCAGTTCTGCCACGGACGGCTGTGACCTCGAACAGGGCATGTGTCCTGTCTGGGTTTCAAACTCCTCATCTCTAAAGCGCTTTGCTCGAGGAGCGCTTTGGGGGGCTCAGTCGGTTGAGTGCCCGACTTCGACTTTGGCTCAGGTCATGATCTCACAGTTCGTGGGTTTGAGCCCCACGTCGGGCTCTGTGCTGACAGCTCAGAGCCTGGAGCTGCTTCTGATTCTGTGTCTCCCTCTCTGTCTGCCCCTCCCCTGCTTGTTCTCTGTCTCTGTCTCTGTCTGTCTCTCAAAAAATAGATACACATTAAAATAAATAAGTAGATAAAGTGCTTTGGTTGACCTCTGAGGCCTCTACAGAGCCCTGGATGTAGGGTCAGAAGCCATAGGTTTGAGTCCCCCTGCAAAAACCTAGGTGAGTCTGACTAGGTCCCTTAACTTTTTTGAACCCTACCTTCCTCCCATGTGAAGTTGGGACACGGGTAACGTGTGGTGATCTGTCTGACCGCGTGGTTGTCAGAACCAAAACCAGATAATGTGGGCAAAGTAAAGAGCAGTGACACTGTCAGATGCTATTCCTCCCACTGTCTGTGACAGAGGGAAGGAGAGGGACACCGGACGGGGATGTGTGGCCGGGGGAAAGGATGGACAGGTTCAGAGCAGGGAACAGTGCTGGGGCCCTGGTCGAGGGCTGGTCTGGTTCAGCAGGGGTGAGTGGTGAGGGAACTAACGCGGGCCTTGATGGAAGAGAGCGGAGTTCCGATTTTGACTCCGTTTCCCTCGCCTCCGACTTCAGAATGCGGTAACAGCATCCCCCGCCTCGTTTGCCCTGAGGTTTGAAGAAGATCGGCCCTGGCGAGGGTGCAGGGATGCTTAGCACAGCGCAGGTGCTCGCTGCAAACCAGCCGCCCTTCCCTCCTCCTCCCGCCTTGTGTCTTCGCAGAGGCTCAGGGCAAAGTGGCTGAGGGCCCAGACTCGGCTCAAATCCCGCCTCAACTGCTTGCTAGTTGTGTGGCCTTTGTGCGCCCTGGTTTCCTCCTCTGTGACATGGAGATGATACTAGTGCTCACCTCCTAGCATTACTGGGAGGGTTAAGAAGCTATGGTTTATGAAACACTAAGAACAGTGCTTGGCACCCAGCACTACTGTGTAAGTGTCCGTGCTGTTGTTATCATCCTGTTTTAACAGGAAGGCCCAGAGAGGTGAGGGCACAGAGTTAACAACAGCTGGGAGACACACGGGGACCTCAAGGCATCCAGCCCCCTGCCGCGACATGGCCACCCACCTCCTGCGAAGGAAAGTCTGGGTCCATGGGTTGTCTAGGCAAGTGCCCTTCCTCCTCCGGGGAACGGGATTCAAAGGCAGGAGCAGAGGGATCCTGACTTCATTGTCTTTTCCCCGCCTCCCTCTCCCCTCCCCCCAGAGAAGCAGAAAAGAGCAAGGCAAGTGACCTTGACAGCCTCGGACATTTACAAAAATACATTTATCTGCCAGGCAGGCCTCTCGTGCGGCCACCATGGGGATGGGCGAGCTCCCCTCACGGACCACACCACAGCCGGGAGGAGGGGACGCATTGGGGACGACGGGTCCCCTCCATCCAGGCTCCTTTAGGGGTTAGGCAGGGCTGGGGACTCAGGAGAGACTGCCAGGCCAGTGCTGGGTCTCGAGGAAGAGGAGGAGGCAATGCCTGCTGGAATGCCCATCAGCCGACTTAGCGACGAAACAAACAAAGCTTACAGACCTAAACCAAGAAAACAACCAAGGAATCCCCCACCCCCACTGCAGGACGCCCAATTAACTCTGAACTTCAGACAAACAATGAATAATGTTTTAGTGTAAGTATGTCTCATGCAGTATTTGGGATATACTTACACACAAAGTTATTTGTTGTTTTCTGAAATTCAATATAACTGAGCCATCCTGGCTCAACATAACTGGCCTGACCTTGTGGTGTACGTCACTCGGCAGTTAACAAGTGCCGTCCCCTTTAATACGTCTGTGTTTGGCAGGTACCTTTGCCCACAGTTTACCCAACAAAGGAATGAAGCGGTTTGTGGTCACCAGGAGTGATCCTACTGATCTTACACCTCATTCTTTCTGAGGGACCCAGATCAGGGAGGAGGGTGAGCATGTCCCCAACACTGCGCCCTCTCAATCTCCATTTGCCCTGGCTGACAGCTGGCGGACCCTCCTTCCAGCCCCAGACCCTGCACCTGGTCTGGTGACACAGTGGGTCCCCGGGAGGTGGGGATAGTGACCACCCCTCTTTTTTTTTAACGTTTTATTTATTTTTGAGAGACAGAGCATGAGCAGGGGAAGATCAGAGAGAGAGACGGAGACACAGAATCTGAAGTAGGCTCCAGCTCTGAGCTGTCAGCACAGAGTCCAACATGGGGCTCGAACCTACGAACCATGAGATAATGACCTGAGCTGAAGTCGGATGCTCAACTGACTGCACCACTCAGGTGCCCCAGTAACCACCCCTCTTAAGGTAGAAAGGGCCCCAGACCGGGAGGCAGGAGTCCTTGGCAACCAGGCAGGCGAGTCCCGTGGGGTAGAGAGGGAGAAGGTGGGAGTGTCTGGAAAGACTTGGAGCAGCAAGATAACGCCCTCGAGCTTTAACGCTTTCGTGCTGGCCCAGCACCTGGTCTACAGCAGCCCAGTGCGAAGGATTGGGAATGAAAACACACAGGAGCTCACAGAAATGCAGATTCTTGGGCCCCCAGGCCTACTGAATAGGCATCTGCCGAAGCCATGGAGTGGGGAGGGCCCCTGCATCTCTAAAAACCCAAGGTCTTGTCTTGGGTCAGTAAGTAGCTCATTAGCTGTGTGTCAGTACCTTAGATTTTTCTTTTGTAAACAAAGGAGTGTGGGTAGGAGGATTTTAAGGCTCCTTTCAACTCTAAGATTCAATGGTTTCAAGGAAAGGGAATATTGTCCTTGAGGCTGGGGGAGGCCAGCTCCTTCCAGAGTCCTTTGCTGGAATCTATGGGGCTGTGGTCTCTGTGCAATAGGGTGGGGGCAGACCACTCAGGGCTCTGGGCTCACAGGACACCTCACCTGTCCCCAGACTTGCTCTGGGAGCCACAGGGAGGAAAGGCTACTGGGTTTGAGAAACCCCAGGGGCAGGCAAGGGGCTGTGTCTGTGCTCCCCTTCGGAGGTGCACGGAGCCCCCAGACTGTTCACAGCCCTCACCACGCCACTCTGGGCACATGTGGGCCCCAGGAGGAAGCCGAATTGCCTAGACATCTTCTTTCACCGTCTCTAACCACAGTGCACATGGCCCACAGGTCACAGCCCGCAGTCCCGGTGAAGAGATCTGAACTCCTCTTGCACCCTGAGACCTTGACACAGGCAGCTATAGGGAGGGGAGGACTAGGGTGGGAAGGGGGCCCAGGGGCCCAGGTCAGGCTTTGGGTCTCTGACCCTGGCCCCTTGGGTGGGCAGCCTCTTAGAGAAGGTCCACTATAGTTCCTTTTTTTTTAAATTTATTTCTGAGAGAGAGCCAGCGTGAGCAGGGG